TGTGCATAACGTGCAGGTTTGTTACATATGTATACTTGTGCCATGTTGGTGTGCTGCACCCATCAACTCGTCATTTACGTCAGGTATAACTCCCAATGCAATCCCTCCCCCCTCCCCCCTCCCCATGATAGGCCCCGGTGTGTGATGTTCCCCTTCCTGAGTCCAAGTGATCTCATTTTTTTTTTAATTGACAAGAAAATCAATAAAACCAAAAGTTGGTTTTTAAAAAGATCAACAAAATAAACAAACGTTTAACTAGACTGATTAAGAAAATAAGAGAAAAGCCTCAAATTACTAAAATCTGTAATGAAAGAGAAGATATCACTATTGACCTTACAGAAATCAAAACAATTATAAGTGAATACTATAAACAACTGTATACCAACAGTTTAAATAAGTTAGATAAAGTGGACAAAATCCTAGAAAGACATAAATTACCAAAATTTTATCAAGAATAAATAGAAAATCTAAACAAATCTATAACAAGTAAAGAGATTTAATTAGTAATTTTAATACATCGCACACACACAAAAGCTGAGGCCCAGACTTCACAGATGAATCTTTTAAATATTTCAGGAAGAATTAACACCAATCCTTCATAAAATTTTCAGAAGACAGGTGGTAATAACGCTACCCAATTCACTCTATGAGGTGAGTCTTATCCTGAATCCAAAACCAGACAAACACATCACAAGAAAACTACCAACCAATGTCCTTTACGAATATAGATGTGAACATTTTCAACAAAATAATACGAAACTGAATCCAGCAGCATATATGAAGGATAATAAACTAAAATTAAGTGGGATTTATCCCAAGAATGCAAGATTGATTCCATTTATGAAAATGTATGTATGTAATATAATATGCTATATTAACAGAATAAAGTAAAAGACACATGGTCATCTCAACAGACACAGAAAACAAAAAGCATTTGACAAAATCCAACACTATTTCATGACAAAAACATTCAAGTAAGACAGGTGGTGATATGGTTTGGATTGTGTCCTCAACCAAATCTCATGCCAAATTGTAATCCCCAGTGTTGAAGGAAGGGTCTGGTGGAAGGTGACTGGATTAAGGGAAAGATTTCCTCTGTGCTGTTTTCATGATAATAAGTTCTCATGAGACCTGGTTGTTTTAAGGAGTGTGTAGCACTTTCCCCTACATCTCTTCCTCCTGATCCAGCAGCCATGTAAAACATGCCTGCTTCCCCCTTCACCTTCTGCCATGATTATAAGTTTCCTGAGGCCTCCCAGACATGTTTCCTGTACAGACTGTGGAACCATGAGCCAATTAGACTTCTTCTAATTATAAATTACCTAGTCTCAGGTAGTTTTTTATAACAATGTGACAACAAACTAATACAGATGAGAAATTCCTCAACCTGATAGGAAGCATCTGTGAAAAACCCCCGGGAACATCATACTTAATGATGAAAGACTGTATGTTTTCCTCCTGAGCTCTGGAACAAGATAGTGATGTTCGCTTTCACCATTTCTATTCAACACTCTAAAGTACTTACTAGACAGGGGAATTAGGCAATAAAAAGAAATAAAAGGTATCAGATCGGTAAAGAAGTAAAATTATCTCTATTTGCAGACGACATGATTTTGCATATAGAAAACCCTAAACAATTAATTTTAAAAACCTGTCAGGGATAATAAAAAAAAGTTCAACAAAGTAGCAGGATATGAGATCAATATACAAAAATCATTTGTATTTCAATATGCTGGCAATGAACAACCAAAAATTAAAATTTAAAAATAACTCAATTCACAACAGCATACAAAATGATAAAATATTTACAAATAATTTTAACAAAAAAATGCATGACTCATACACTGAAAACCACAAAATATTGAAAGAAATTAAAGAATGCCTACATAAATGGAAAGACAGCCCATGTTCATGGATTAGAAGACTATACTATTAGAATGAAAATATTCCCCATATTTGTCTCCAGTTTTGATGCTGTCTCTATCAAAATTCTAGCTGAATATCTGCAGAAATTGTCAAAGTGATTCTAAAATTCATATGAAAATGCAAGGGACCCAGAACAGCCAAAACAATGTTGAAAAAGAAGAGCAATGTTAGAAAATTCCCAATTCCCAATTTCAAAACTTACTACAAAGCTATAGTAATCAAGACAGTATGGTACTGGCATAAGGACAGACATGGAGCAATGAAATGAAATAGAGTGTCTGAAAATAAACCCATACATTTTTAGTCAGCTGATTGTCAACTAGGGTGCCAAGACAATTCAATAAAGAAAGAAACAGTGTTATTCTTTTCAACAAATAGTACTGGGACAACTGGATATTCATATACAAAAGAATAAATTTGGACCCCATCTCAAACCATATACAAAAATTAACTCAAAATGCATCAAAGCCTAAATGCAAGAGCTAAAGTTATAAGATCTTAGATAAAAACAAGAGTAAATCTTCAAGACTTTGGATTATGCAATGATTTCTTAGATACACTTAAAGCACAATCAATCAAATAAAGGTTAAATTAAATAAAAATAAAATTAAAAATTAAATAAAAAATAAAAATTAAAAACTTTTATACTCCAAAGGATACTATTAAGAAAAGAAAAGATGACCCACAGAATCTAATAAAGAAATAACTCTTAGAACTCAGCAATCAAAAGACAAATAACTTAGCTGGGCATGATGGCATGAACCTGTAGTCCCGGCTATGAGGGAGGCTGAGGTGAGAGTATCACTTGAGCCCAGGAGTTCAAGACAAGTCTGAGAAACACAAGACCCCATCTAAATAAATTAATTAATTAACTAACACAATTTTAAAATGAACAAAGATTTTGAACAGATATTTCCTCAAAGAATGTATATAAATGGCCAAAAAGCACATGCAAAGATGTTCAACATCATTAGTCATTATGGAACTATTATACCAACCAATACTGTTAAGAGGTCAATGGAAACAGATTCAACAATGATTGATGCTTTTTATCAGACATTTACTGTGTTTATTCTCAAACAACATTATGGCATAGGTATTACTGTTACCTTCATTTTATAGATTAGAAAATTGAAGTCTAATTTATTTATTTATTTATTTATTTAGTGATCATGGCTCACTGCAGTCTCAACCTCCTGGGCTCAAGTGATCCTCCCACCTCAGTCTCCCGAGTAGCTGGGACTACAGGCATGCAGTATCACGCCTGGCTAATTTTCTTAGTTTTTTGTTGTTGTTGTTGTTGTTGTTGTTTTTGTTTTTTGTAGAGACAGGGTTTCACTTTGTTGCCCAGACTGGTCTTGAACTCCTGGACTCAAGTGATCCTCTCACCTCAGCCTCCCAAAGTGTTGGGATTACAGGTGTGAACCACCATGCCCAGCCAAATTTATTCAACCTCTGTTGGGTTAATAGCTCAACTAAGTAAAACTAGCAAGAGTCAAATCAGAGATTAAAACCGAGGTGGTCTGACTCCACAAAAAGATGTGCTTAAACCTATATATATAAATATATATATATATATATTTTTTTTTTTTTTTGAGATAAGATCTCACTCTGTTGCCCAGGCTGGAGTGGAGTGGCATGATTACAGCTCACTGAAGTCTCAACCTCCCAGGCTGAAGTGATCCTCCCACATCAGCCTCCCAAGTAGCTGGGACCACAGGTGTGTGCCAGTGCCACTGTGCACAGCTAATTTTTGTATTTTTTGTGGAGACAGGGTCTCGCCATGTTGCCTAGGCTGATCTTGAACTCCTGAACTCAAGTAATTCATCCTCATTGGTCTCCCAAAGTGTTGTGATTACAGGCGTGAGCCACTGGGCCTGACCTATATATATTCTTCCTGTAACATAAAAAATGCATACAGGAGACACTGTGTTTGAAAAACGAGCTATAAAACAGTACACTAGGATTACACCAATGGAAAACCATATAGGAAAAGACTACAAAAATAATATAAAATGATAAGATGTTGTAATTAAGTGATAGAATGAAGGGTGATACTTGTTTTCTAAATTTGCTATAATATGATGAATTAATTATAATAATATCTTTCAAAAGCTATGTTAAGAATATAAAGACCTCTCCTAAACACACACACACATTGTTTTAAAGGAAATAAAATTATAATGCACTAAATAGTTGTGTTCTTACATAAGTTAAAATCCTGGCACTGACTCAAACCAGTTAGAAGTCCTTAAATAAGTGATGTTAGCTCTGTAGATTCAGTAATAATTAGAGAAACAAAATATTATCTTGAATAATCTTTAAAATTTTTTGAATTGATATATTTTCAGCTATCTAGTTTTAAACTTTAATTAGCCTAAAATGACATTATTAAATTTTGATAAATAAAAATTAAAGCATGCCATCATTTCAATTCATAGTCCTGTTTCACCAGCTACAAAGTATGCCATCATTTCAATTAATATTCCTGTTTCACTAGTTATGGTAGATATATCTAGTTGTTGAAAATAAGAAAAATGCTTTGTTTTTAACAGTAGTGTTTAGAAGGTAAAAATGTTTTTCAGATAGTTTTCTCATTGGGAAAATATTCAACAGATATTTCTTGGAATTGACTCAAATTCCAATTGGACTTTGTAGCTCCTTCCAGAATTCTCACATTATCTTTAAAAACTAACTCTGACCTTGGAAGACAGAGTATACCTAGGCGCAGAATTGCCAGATATAACAAATAAAATATATATTTGCTAAATTATCAGAGAAATCTGAATTTCAGATAAACAATAATTTTTAACATAGGTAATACTTAAAGTATACTAAAAATTATGTATCATTTATGTGAAATTAAAATTCTACTTGGCATCCTATAGCACCAATATTAAGTAAGGTATTACTAAATAATAATTTCTGTTAATAGTAAAAATGAGTACATGTACTCTGCCACCAGGAGAATTCTCAAACTCTAGCTTAAATTATTGAATATTTCCTCCATATGTGGCAATATGTTAAAGTATTATAATTGTAAGTTACTTTTTGAGTTCAAAAAAATAATTTACCTGATGAGATTTTCATTCTTTTTTTCCACTGAAAATGGCATTCCAGCAGAACCATTAAATAATTCCAAAAGTAGTGTGACTGCAGTGTTCATAAGTTGACGAATGAGTTCCTGAAATATGTAGTCAATCAGCATTACAAACTTGAAAAATGTTTCTAATAAATGTCTATATTTAGGCAGCTTGAAATGTGTTGTGTCATCTTCAGAGAGTTTTGACTCAAAATACCTTTTGATTTCATTCTTTTCTGCAACCTACAATTAAAAAAAAATTGAGAAACAAGTATTGATTTTCTTTGTTTATATGATTTCTAGTTTACAACAATTTTTACCAATATTAACTTTAATTAGATGTAAATTTTAAGAATTGATAGTTTAATACCTCAAGCAAAAAATGATTTAACGGGTAGGCCCAAAAAGTAACATATGAATTAAAATAGAATTCTAAAAATTCTTTAAATAATACTAAAGAAGCCAAAAGAGGAAGGACAGCGGAAGAAAAAAAAAAAAAAAAGACAGAGGAGACTAACCAAAAACAAATAATAAAATAGCAAACCTAAATTTAACAACATGAAAATCACATCGTGTTTTTACTTGTTTGTTTTGTTTTTATTTGTTTCTTTGTTTTTTCTTCTACTTTTATTTTAGGTTCTGAGGGTACATATGTATGTTTGCTACATGGTTAAATTGTGTATTGCTGAGGCTTGGGGTATGAATTATCCCATCACATGGGTAGTGAGCATAGTCAACAATAGCTTGCCTTCTAACCCATACCTTCCCCTCACCCTCCTCCCTCAAGCAGTCACCAGTGTCTGTTGTTCCCATCTTCCTGCCCATGTGTAACAAAGTGTATCTCCCACTAATACGTGAAGATATATGGTATTTGGTTTCTGTTCCTGTGTCAGTTTGCTTAAAATAACATCCTCCAGCTGTACCATGCTGCTGCAAAGGACATGATATCATTCTTTTCACGGCTGGGTGGTATTCCATAGTGTATATGTACCACATTTTCTTTATCCAGTCCACCAATGACAGGCATCTAGGTTGATTCCATGTCTTTGCTATTGTGAATAGTGCTGCAACAAACACAAGCATGCATGTGTCTTATTGGTAGAACGATTTATTTTCCACTGGGTATATACCCAGTAGAGGGATTGCTCGGTTGAATGGTAGTTCTCTCTTAAGTTCTTTAAGAAATCTCCACACTGCTTTCCACAGGGGCTGAACTAATTAACACTGCTACCAGCAGGGTGTTTCCTTTTTGCCACATTCTCACCAGCAGCTATTGTTTTTTGACTTTTTAGTAATAGCCATTCTGATTGGTGTAAGATGTTATCTCATTGTGGTTTTAATTTGGATTTCTCTAGTGATCGGCGATCATGAGTATATTTTTAATATATTTGTTGGTTACATGTATGTCTTCTTTTGAGAAGTATCTGTTCATATCCTTTGCCCACGTTTTAGTGGAGTTACTTGGTTTTTTGTTTGTTGGGGTGTTTAAGATCCTTATAGACTCAGGATGTTAGAACTTTGTCAGATGCACAGATTGTGAATATTTTCTCTCATTCTGTAAGTTGTCTGTTTACTCTGTTGATAATTTCGCTTGCTATGCAGAAGCTCTTTAGTTTCATTAGGTCCCACTTGTCACTTTTGTTTTTGTTGCAATTGCATTTAGGGACTAGGTCATAAATTCTTTGTCAAGGCTGATGTCCAGAATGGTATTTCCTAGGTTTTCTTCTAGGGTTTCTACTGTTTTAGGTCTTACATTTAAGTCTTTAATCCATCTGGTGTTAATTTTTATATATAGTGACAGAAGGGGGTCCAGTTTCAATCTTCTGAATATGGATAGCCAGTTATCCCAGAACCATTTACTGAAAAGGGAGTTCTTTCCCCATTGTTGTCACTGTAGACAGTGTGGCTTTATTTCTGGGTTCTCTACTTTGTTCCATTGGTCTACCTGTCTGTTTTTGTACCCTTACCATGCTGTTTGGTTACTGTAGCCTTGTATAGTTTGAAGTTGGGTAGCGTGATGCCTCCAGCTTTGCTCTTTTTGCTTTGGATTGCTTTAGCAATTCAGGTTCTTCGGTTCAACATGAATTTTAGAATAGTTTTTTTTTTGAATTGTGAAAAATGATGTTGGTAATTTGATAGGAATAGGATTAAATCTGTAAAGTGTTTTGGGCAGTATGGCCATTCTAACAATATTGATTCTTCCTATTCACGAGCATGGAATGTTTGTGTCATCTCTAATTTCTATCAACAGTGCTTTGTAATTCTCATTGTAGATATCTATCATCACCTTGGTTAAATGTTAGATATTTTATTCTTATTGTGGCTATTGTGAATGGCATTGATTTGGCTCTCAGTTTGGATGTTTTTGGTGTATAGAAATGCTACTGATTTTTGTACATTGATTTTATATCCTGAAACTTTCCTAAAGTTGTTTTATCAGATGTAGGAGCTCTTGGACAGAAACTATGTAAGGTTTCCTAGATAATCATACAGTCTACAAACAGATAGTTTGACCTCTTCCTATCTGAATGTGTTACGTTTCTTTCTCTTGCATAATTGCTCTGGCTAGAATTTCCAATACTGTGTTTAACAGGAGTGGTAAGAATTGGCATCCTTCTCTTGTTCCAGTTATCAGTGGGAATGGTTCCAGTTTTTGCCTGTTCACTATGATGTTCACTGTGTGCTTGCCATATATGGCTCTGATTATTCTGAGGTTTGTGGCTTCAATGCCTAGCTTGTTGAGAGTTTTTAACATGCAGGGATGTTGAATTTTATCAAAAGTATTTCCTGCATCTGTTGAGATGATCATGTGGCATTTGTTTTTAATTCTGATTACATAATAAATGACACTTATTGATTTGCATATGTTAAACCAACCTTGCATTCCAGGAATAAAGCCTACTTCTCCATGGTGAATTAACTTTTTGAGGTGCTGCTCGTTCAATTCAGTTTGCTGTACTAAGTTGATAATTTGTGCATCTATGTTCATTAGGGATATTGGCCTGAATTTTTCTTTTCTTGTTGTGTCTCTGCCAGGTTTTGGTATCAGAATGATGCCGGCCTTATAAAATAAGTTACAGAGGAGTCCTTCCTCCTTGATTTTTGGAAATAATTTCAATAGGATTGGTACTAGCTCTTATTTGCACCTTTGGTAGAATCAAATCCATCTGGTCCAGGGCTGTTATGGTTTTTAGGTGTTTTATTACTGATTCAATTGGTCTGTTATTACTCTTTATTGGTCTGTTCAGGATTTCAATTTCTTCCTGGTTTAACCTCAGGAGACTATGTGTTTCCAGGAATTTACTCATTTCTTCTAGGTTTTCTAGTTTGTATATAGAGAGGTGTTCATAGCAGTCTTTGAGAATTTTTTTTTTTTTTTTTTTTTAAAGACAGAGCCTTGCTCACCCAGGCTGGATTCCAGTGGTGCAATCTTGGCTCATGGCAATCTCCACCTCCTGGTTTCCAGCGATTCTCCTGCCTCAGCCTCCTGAGTAGCTGAAACTACAGACATGTGCCACCACACCTGGCTAATTTTTGTATTTTTACTAGAGATGAGGTTTCACCATGTTGGCCAGTCTGGTCTCAAACCCCTGACCTCAGGTGATCTGCCTGCCTCACCCTCCCAAAGTGTTAGGATTACAGGCATGAGCCAACTTGCCCAGCTGAAATTTTTTTTGTATTTCTCTGGGGTCGGTTATGATGCCACCTTTGTCATTTCTGATTGTATTTGGGTCTTCTCTATGTTTTTCTTTATAAATCTAGCCACCAGGCTATCAAACTTGTTTAATCTTCTGAAGAACCAACTTTCGGTTTTGTTGATCTTTTGTATGGATTTTCATGCCTCAATTTTGTTCAGTTCTGCTCTGATTTTTGTAATTTCTTTTCTTCTGCTAGCTTTGGGGTTGGTTTTCTCTTGTTTTTCTGGTTCCTTGAAGTGCAATCATTAGAGTCTTAATTTGAGATCTTTCTAACTTCTTGATGTAGGTGTACAGCACTATAAAGTTTCCTCTTAATCCTTCTTTAGTTGTTTCCTGAGTATTCTGGTATGTTGTGTCTGTTTTTAGTTTCAAAGAATTTTTTTAAATTTCTGCCTTAATTTCATTCCTTAACCAAAAGTCACACAGAAGCTTGTGCTTGAGCTGTGGTCCAACAGTGTGGTTGTTATGGTTTTGATTTTTGTGATTTTGTTGTGACTTGCTTTATGGACAAATATGTGGTCAGTCTTAGAGTATGTGCCATGTGCTGATGAGAAGAATGTATATTCTGTTGTTAGGCGTAGTGTTCTGTAGGTGCCTGTTAGATCCAATTGGTCAAGTACCAAGTTTAAGTCCTGAATAGTTTTGTAGTTTGCTGCCTCAACAATCTGTCTAATGCTGTCATTGGGGTGTCGAAGTCCTCCACTATTATTATGTGGTTGTCTAAAACTCTTCGTAGGACTCTCAGTACTTGTTTAATGAATCTAGGTGCTCCAATATTGGGTGTGCATATATTTAGAAAGTTAGGTCTTTTAGTACTGAACTTTTTATTGTTATGTAATGGCCTTCTTTGTCCTTCTTGATCATTGTTTGTTTAAAGTCTGTTTTAGCTGATATAAGAATAGCAACCTCTGCTCTTTTTTTGTTTTCATTTGCCTGATAGGTCTTTCTCTAACCCTCTACTTTGAGTCTATGGGTGTCGTTACTTGTGAGATGGGTCTCTTGAAGACAGCAGACAGTTGGGTCTTGCTTCTTTATCCAATTTGCCACAGTCGGCCTTTAAAGTGGGGCATTTAGCCCATTTACATTCAAGGTCAATATTAACATGTGAGGATTTGATCTTGTTACTGTATTATTAGCTGGTTGTTATGCAGACCTAATTATACAGTTGTGTTATAATGTCAATGGCTTATGTACTTGTGTGTTTTTGTGGTCACAGGGAATGTTCTTTCATTTCCATGTTTAGCACTCCCTTTAGGACCTCTTGTAAGGTAGGTCTAGTGGCAACAAATTTCCTTACCATTTGCTTCTCTGACAAGGATTTCACTTCTCCTTTGCTTATGAAGCTTAGTTTTGTGGGATATGACATTTTTGGTTGGAATTTCTTTTCTTTAAGGATGTTGAAAATAGGCCTCCAATCTCTGTAGACTTGTAAGGTTTCTGCTAAAAGGACTGCTGTTAGCCTGAAGGGGTTCACTTTGCAAGTGATCTGCCCCTTCTCTCTAACTGCCTTTAAGATTTTTTCTTTCATGCTGACTTTGGGGAATC